GGAGGACAAGAGGAGTTCAAGTCATGCAAAAAGGTAAGCCTTACAGGGCATGCTCCCTTCTCCAATAATCTCCTTACTCTGTGAGTGTGAGTCTGTGAGTGTGAGTCTGTGTGTGTCTGTGTGTGTGTGAGTCTTTGTGTGTGTGTGTCTGTGAGTGTGTGTGTGTGTGTCTGTGAGTGTGTGTGTGTGAGTGTTTTAGGAGAGACTACATTATTTTGAAAAGCAGCTCAGAGATCTTCTCTTCTCTTCTGTTTTTTTTTATCCCTGTGAATAAAATCAAATATTTCAGTGAAACACAGAAAATAAAAAAGGTGAAAAGTTCATAAATCGACTGATTTATGAGGAATTAAAATAAATCTAAATTTAACAACAACTAAAGGAAGTCCTGAACGATCACGCCCTAAAAAACAAGACGTTCAAAAAACAAAGACCAGTTTAAAACAGTCAGAGGTTATTATCGGCCAATCAGAGAGGAGCAAAGGTTCGAGGAGACAGAGACGCACATTTATGAGATCATTAAAAAAAAACAGGTTAGCTTCAATATTTTTAACTGTTAGAAAACTAGAGATTCAACCGACACTTTACAGGACAAGAAATAAAGACAATAATAATAATAATAATAATAATAATAATAATAATAATATTAATAATAAAAATAAACTTTTAAAAGTGAGCAGTGTTACCTGAAACAAGAAACAATAGTCTCTATTAAAGCAGCTTTTGTGTCTCAAAGCAGCAGAAGTCGATATAATGATAAAAATAATACTAATAATATTAATTAGAAAGGACAGCTGGACTTAGTTGAGACATTTCTCCTCAGGCGTAGATGTAGATGGATTCTGTCTGTCGTCTCTCCTTTTCAGTTGTCTTTATATTGATGTTCATTGTTCATGAAACTCTCTAACTGCATCGATCACATTTTAAAATCAACAATCGGCACAAAAACATCTCAATGACGTCCTCTGCTGGGTTAGAAAATCGATCTTCTTTGGGTTCGGTTGGAGTCCACGGCTGCACCATCGGGGGGTTTCTCTCCCCTCACAGTGGGGGGTCGGCGGCGTCCCCCTCAGGGTTCACAGGACTGATGTGGAGCAGACTGTCCTGATGAAGTGGGATCGACTCGACCCTCTCTTATGTTGAACAGATTTATCCTAAACTGACTCCATTTACTAAAAACTAAAGTTTGAACCTCTGAGCGCTGAGACGAAGGACGACAGTCGCTCCTGATTCTGAGCATCTCCAAGGAAACGCTGCAGAACAGTTCAGTTTCCCCAATATTAGAGTATTTACGGTTTTATTAGGATCATTACAGTGTCTGAGGATAAAACGGTGTTTCCTCCTGAACGTCATGGACTCACTCGAACACTCGGAGGGTTTCACTTCAGCCTCAGACTCGGTCAGAGACGAACTGAAGGTCCAGATCCTCCCCCCAGGAGCTGGTCCAGGTCTTCTCCTCCTCTCTCTCTCTCCTCTCTTTTCTCAGTTTCATCCCTTCATTCCTCTCTTACCGTCTCTTAAAAAACTGTTTCATCAGTTATTTTTGTTTATTTTTGGTCCCAAAGTTTTAAATCTGATACTCACACACACACACACACACACACACACACACACACACACACACACACACACACACACAGACCAGGCCACAGTGTTACACAACCTTTGTCCGAGACCTCTGCTGGGGTAATTAGATACTGAAATATTAATAGGAACTCTGTGTGTGTGTGTGTGTTTGTGTGTGTGTGTGTGTGTGTGTGTGTGTGTGTGTGTGTGTGAGGGAGACCAGGGCAGACCAAACTGCTCTGATCTGATCCTCGTTCTCCGTTTTCTTGTAGGTCTCTCTGTCGCTGACGTTCCTCTCAGGTTTGTTCTCCGTTAGCTTCACCGTCTGATCAAACAGAAGCTCCGAGGAACAAACATCGTCTTTTTAGATCTTTCACAGCTGATCACTGTCCAGATGTGGTCTGCTCAGGTCCCCCTAAACCTCCTCTGATGAACTTTGATAAGACGCTGATATAAAACTGTAAAAACTGGACGACACTCGGCGGTGAAGGTGAGGCCAAAAGTAAAGAGCAGCGAGGTTAAAGAGGCACAGCTGCTGAGTGTCCAGAAGTCAAAGGATCAAAGTAAACCTTCATTAGGGAGGGATGAATAATTCAGCACACACACACACACACACACACACACACACACACACACACACACACACACTCTGAGTTAAACTGTGTAAGGATTCCTGTATATTAAAACATCTCAGCGTCTTTAAATTGGTCTATAATCAAGTAAACATTAAAGGACGCACCCCCACTACACACACACACACACACACACACAAACACACACATACTGAACAATAACCCACAACAACAAAGAGGTAATTGGATGTAGTGTCATGTGACCGTCTTTATCGAGTCTAATCAGTTTAACCTTTAAAGTGATTCTCTGATCTGGAGGAGAAGTCAGGAATAAAAAGACCTGGTCTCTAAAGAACCTCCTCGAACCCGGGATCGAAACCCGGGTTTACAGACTGACAGACAAACAGACAGACAGACAGACAGACTGACTGACAGACAAACAAACAGACAGACAGACAGACAGACAGACAGACAGACAGACAGACAGACAGACAGACTGACTGACTGACAGACAAACAGACAGACAAACAGACTGACAGACAGACTGACAGACAGTCAGTGAGGCGTTTAAATCAGAGACCGAAGTTTCACTGAAGAGACAGAAACAGACGAACAAAAGGAGACGAAGGTGTGACCCTGACTTCATGATAACAGTCAACAGAAATATAAAACTGAACAGTTTAAATAAAGTTAAAAAAAAAATCACTCAAAGCTCCGGGTTATTTGAGCGCCCCCTGTGGACAGAGCCGTCCCTACACGCTTTAGTAAAGTCCTCTGACAGTGGAACTGTCCTGTGATCGTAAATATGTGGAAATAAAACTAAAGATGTTTCTTCATCAGCTGAACTGACAGTGACCCTCCTGAACTTAAAGGGATATTCTGTCATTAAACTAATTTAGGGTCAAACCCACAGTAACACCGAGTTAGACCCCCCCCCCCAGAGATGAATGTTGTCGACCGCTTCCTTCTCTAGTTATACCAACTTTAGTAACGACCGCAGGATAGAAATACAGAGAGACACGCCCTCAACCAAAACGCCACTCTATAGCCACAAATAATGCTCAGAACAGCACCTAACTTCATCAACAGGACATATAGGGTCACAGACATAGTACTATATTCAGAAAACATAAACTTAAGCGGGGGCGTTTCTTCACCTCTGTAGTCTATAATCTGGGCCAATAAACTTCTACTGTAGTAAAATGAAAAGGTAAAGGTGTTTTTATTGAGCCGAATTATCAATAAAATCATGATTTTGTTAACAGGTATGGATTTATGTGCTGTCGAGTTAATATATTTGAACAAGAGCACAGTAAAGTTAAATCAGCTAATTTTCCAATGAGGTTCTGTTACTGAACGGAACTACACCATGATCTACTGAGGTTAGTACATATAGGGTCACAGACATAGTACTAGACACCAAACATCTTTTTAACTTTGACTCATTTCTTTAGTAAAGAGACTAAACACAACTCACCTACTCTCTTCCAGCAGACGCTTGTTTGTGGGGCAGCCCTGATGAGTCGATCACAGAGTGCAGCAGAAAAATTATGATTATAAATTCATGGAAATGATCCGATGAGGTGGCGGCCCGTCTCTCGCCTGTGTGTGGTGGTTCTGGACTAGAGTATGTTTTCTAAGACTCATTCACTCGTTACACACACACACACACACACACGTTTTCCTGTGTATTTGTGTTTGTCAGCGTGTGTGTGTGTTTTATGTGGACCCCGTTAGCAGACTGAGCTCTACTCCATCACTGACTCTGAACCTGAACAGAAGTGTTTTTATGAGTCCTGCTCCTTTAATCCAGTTTAGAGGAAACACAACACCTGATATGTGTGTGTGTGTGTGTCTGTGTGTGTGTGTGTGTGTTGTTTTTATCATGCTCTGTTGGAGAGGCTCTGCTCAACTCCTTCTGACCTCAGAGTGTTTCTGACTTTTGTGTTTTTAAGATTTACATGAAAAACAAACAAATAAAAATGTGAAACTGACGCTCCTCTGACCTCCTCAGGATCTGCAGGTGACCGCTGATGACCAGGAACCAGAACCATGGTCATTCTACAGCAGGTAAACACACACACACACACACACACACACACACACACACACACACACAGATACACACTCATTAGTGCTGAGAAACTCATTCTGCTCTGTATTGTTTCTACTGAGGGCTCTTTGTGGTCGAGCACACACACACACACAGACACACACACACACACACACACACACACACACACACACACACACACACACACACACAGACACACACACACACACACACACACAGACACACTGGATGGTTTTGATCCTGGGTTCACGCGTTGCTGATCTCGTCAGTCTTTCTGGTCCACTAACCCGGTCTGACAGCGTCCCCCCGCTGCGGCGCCCCAAATGGGACGAGCCGATAAAAACAGGTCCGACCAAATCATCCGTCAGAGTGTGTGGATGTTCGTCACACACACTCTGACCTTCATCCTCAGCGTACAGGTGTACCCGCGCTGACCTGGACAGGAAGTCTGCTGATGCCGGGTCACTCTGATTAAAGCGGTTTTAGGAGTTTTGAACGTGAAGGCGGAGACTGTGGAGGACTTTGGATCGGTTCCATCCTGGACTTTTCATCGGGGTCAGAGACTTTTCTCTTCAGTATCTCATGAGGACGACGGTTTCAGGACGGTCGTCTTCTTTGTCAGTCTCTGTTTCTCTGAGGACGTCTGACTTTAGATGGATCGTGTTTGTCGGAGTTTCTCTTTGGATCGTCTCTGAAAACCAGAACCAGCTGAGCTCTGAGGACCCGTTTACAGCCAATGAGGAGCCCTGAGGTCACCGTCTGGATGGCGTGCATGTCTTAGCTTGGTAACCATGACAACGGCCACGAAGAGGAAAGGATCTCTGTGGGGTCTGGAGGACTCTGAAATGAACGCTCGGCGTCTCAGCTACAGGTGCACCACCCTCATCCAGGTAAAGTCAGCTCACAGCTCAGACCTCAGATTTACCGTCTGTTTGACAAACAGGGAGTCAAAACGTTTCCTGCTGCGTCAAACTCTGAGAGCAGGAACCTTTAGAGAAGGTTTAAGAACGTTTGTCCTCAAACATCAGAGAGACGTCCTCACCCTCTGACATCAGGAACCTCCAACAGAGAGGATCTGATGATGGAGCTGATGGAGATCTACGTCACTGTAGGTTATCAAAGGGTTAACTCCACCGACAGACCGACAAAGACCAACAAAGACCAACAAAGACCAACAAAGACCAACAAAGACAAACAAAGACAAACAAAGACCAACAAAGACAAAACAAAGACCAACAAAGACAAACAAAGACAAACAAAGACAAAGACCAACAAAGACCAACAAAGACAAACAAAGACCAACAAAGACCAACAAAGACAAACAAAGACCAACAAAGACCAACAAAGACTAACAAAGACTAACAAAGACAAAGACCAACAAAGACCAACTAATTAAAATATTAAAACTTATTATTAAAAACTGATTCACTAACGAGAAACGAGTCAATAACAAAAGACTACAAAGATGGACGACAAATATCAACGAGGAAATTATTGTGTGGTTGTTGTGTAACTGTTGTGTGTCTGTTCAGTCACGGTTGTTGTATGATTGTTGTGTGATTGTTGTGTGGTTGTTGTGTAACTGTTGTGTAACTGTTGTGTGTTTGTTCAGTCACGGTTGTTGTGTGATTGTTGTGTGATTGTTGTGTGTTTGTTGTGTGATTGTTGTGTGTTTGTTGTGTGTTTGTTGTGTGATTGTTGTGTGTTTGTTTAGTCATGGTTGTTGTGTGTTTGTTGTGTGATTGTTGTGTGATTGTTGTGTGTTTGTTGTGTGTTTGTTGTGTGTTTGTTGTGTGATTGTTGTGTGGTTGTTGTGTGTTTGTTGTGTGATTGTTGTGTGTCTGTTGTGTGGTTGTTGTGTGATTGTTGTGTGGTTGTTGTGTTTTTGTTCAGTCGTGGTTGTTGTGTGGTTGTGTGATTGTTGTGTGTTTGTTGTGTGATTGTTGTGTGTTTGTTGTGTGATTGTTGTGTGTTTGTTGTGTGTTTGTTGTGTGTCTGTTGTGTGGTTGTTGTTGTGTTTTTGTTCAGTCGTGGTTGTTGTGTGGTTGTTGTGTGATTGTTGTGTGTTTGTTGTGTGATTGTTGTGTGTTTGTTGTGTGTTTGTTGTGTGTCTGTTGTGTGGTTGTTGTTGTGTTTTTGTTCAGTTGTGGTTGTTGTGTGGTTGTTGTGTGTTTGCTGTGTGTTTGTTGTGTGATTGTTGTGTGTTTGTTGTGTGATTGTTGTGTGGTTGTTGTGTGTCTGTTGTGTGGTTGTTGTGTGTTTGTTGTGTGTTCGTTGTGTGATTGTTGTGTGGTTGTTGTGTGGTTGTTGTGTGTTTTTTGTGTGATTGTTGTGTGTTTGTTGTGTGTCTGTTGTGTGGTTGTTGTTGTGTGTTTGTTCAGTCGTGGTTGTTGTGTGGTTGTTGTGTGTTTGTTGTGTGATTGTTGTGTGTTTGTTGTGTGTTTGTTGTGTGATTGTTGTGTGTTTGTTGTGTGTCTGTTGTGTGTTTGTTGTTGTGTGTTTGGTCAGTTGTGGTTGTTGTGTGTTTGGTCAGTTGTGGTTGTTGTGTGTTTGTTGTGTGATTGTTGTGTGTTTGTTGTGTGTCTGTTGTGTGGTTGTTGTTTTGTGTTTGTTCAGTCGTGGTTGTTGTGTGGTGTTTGTGTGTTTGTTGTGTGTCTGTTGTGTGTTTGTTGTTTTGTGTTTGTTCAGTCGTGGTTGTTGTGTGGTGTTTGTGTGTTTGTTGTGTGTCTGTTGTGTGGTTGTTGTTGTGTTTTTGTTCAGTCGTGGTTGTTGTGTGGTTGTTGTGTGTTTGTTGTGTGTCTGTTGTGTGTTTGTTGTTGTGTGTTTGGTCAGTTGTGGTTGTTGTGTGTTTGCTGTGTGATTGTTGTGTGTTTGTTGTGTGTCTGTTGTGTGGTTGTTGTTTTGTGTTTGTTCAGTCGTGGTTGTTGTGTGGTGTTTGTGTGTTTGTTGTGTGTCTGTTGTGTGTTTGTTGTTTTGTGTTTGTTCAGTCGTGGTTGTTGTGTGGTGTTTGTGTGTTTGTTGTGTGTCTGTTGTGTGGTTGTTGTTGTGTTTTTGTTCAGTCGTGGTTGTTGTGTGGTTGTTGTGTGTTTGTTGTGTGTCTGTTGTGTGTTTGTTGTTGTGTGTTTGGTCAGTGTGGTTGTTGTGTGTTTGTTGTGTGATTGTTGTGTGTTTGTTGTGTGTCTGTTGTGTGGTTGTTGTTTTGTGTTTGTTCAGTCGTGGTTGTTGTGTGGTGTTTGTGTGTTTGTTGTGTGTCTGTTGTGTGGTTGTTGTTGTGTTTTTGTTCAGTCGTGGTTGTTGTGTGTTTGTTGTGTGTCTGTTGTGTGTTTGTTGTTGTGTGTTTGGTCAGTTGTGGTTGTTGTGTGTTTGTTGTGTGATTGTTGTGTGGTTGTTGTGTGTTTGTTGTGTGATTGATGTGTGTTTGTTGTGTGTCTGTTGTGTGGTTGTTGTTTTGTGTTTGTTCAGTCGTGGTTGTTGTGTGGTGTTTGTGTGTTTGTTGTGTGTCTGTTGTGTGGTTGTTGTTGTGTTTTTGTTCAGTCGTGGTTGTTGTGTGGTTGTTGTGTGTTTGTTGTGTGTCTGTTGTGTGATTGTTGTGTGGTTGTTGTGTGTTTGTTGTGTGATTGTTGTGTGGTTGTTGTTGTGTGTTTGGTCAGTCGTGGTTGTTGTGTGGTGTTTGTGTGTTCGTTGTGTGTCTGTTGTGTGTCTGTTGTTGTTGTCTTGTTAGTAATGATCACTGTTCCTCGTTCCTCTTGTCTGGTTTAGTTCAGATACTGAGAAATACTTTCAGAGAAGTTCTTTCTTTGACCAGCAGAGGGCAGACTGTCACTGACAGACCTTTAGTCCAGTCAGATCTGAAACTTCAGAGGAATTTTAAATCATTAAATATTTGATTTGACCTGAAATATTAAATATTAAAGACTAAGTGAATCTGTCCAAACATGTCTGCAGGTTAGTTTCACTACATGAAGGTCAATTTACAATATTTGGAGGTTTTCTCAAATAATGAAATCAAAGATTATAATTCAAAAATGACATAAATATAGAGTCAGGTGTAAATGTGACTCGACCCTAAAAAGATGTAAAATTCTCGTTAATTTAATCGGGTGGTTTGGTCTTGGACCCAGATCTCAAGCTCGTTCCCTTGAGATCATCAGTCTTTATAATATATTCATATAACCTACAGTATTTATAATATATTCATATAACCTACAGTATTTATAATATATTCATATAACCTACAGTATTTATAATATATTCATATAACCTACAGTATTTATAATATATTCATATAACCTACAGTATTTATAATATATTCATATAACCTACAGTATTTATAATATTTGGAGGTTTTCTCAAATAATGAAATCAAAGATTATAATTCAAAAATGACATAAATATAGAGTCAGGTGTAAATGTGACTCGACCCTAAAAACATGTAAAATTCTCGTTAATTTAATCAGGTGGTTCGGTCTTGGACCCAGATCTCAAGCTCGTTCCCTTGAGGATCATCAGTCTTTATAATATATTCATATAACCTACAGTATTTATAATATATTCATATAACCTACAGTATTTATAATATATTCATATAACCTACAGTATTTATAATATATTCATATAACCTACAGTATTTATAATAATATAACCTCCAGTATTTGTAAAATAATAATATAACTTACAGTATTTATAATAATATAACCTCCAGTATTGATCAGCTCCTCCAGCTCCTCTCTGTTTTCAGCTTTCATCTCTCTCATAAATACTCTCTGTCGTTTGTGTGTCTGTGATGTTCCCGTCAGCCTGTAAACTAAATGTTAACGATGATTGTTCACTGGAGCAGACCGACAGCCTCTCTGTGTTTTTAATTCACCGTCGTTTACAAACACACTGAACTTGTCACTTCGTATGAACCTCTGACCTTTGACTTATGATCCATCTAAATGCAAATGAGCTGAGCAGGAAGTGTCTGTCTATTATGTGACCTTTTATGGGCGTCTACGTTTTTTAGTAGGCCACTGGTGGGCGGAGACATTACAGTCTGACCCTGACAGTAAATAAAACAGCTGTCAATCATTTGGTTTCCTGAGTCAGATTGAGAAACACAGACAGAAACATCAATAAACTGATGTGTGCACCATCACCAGCAGGGGGCAGCACTGTACCTGCAGACCTCTGACCTGCAGACGGGTCAGACTGAGTCAGAACCAGGAGAGAGTCGGTCTAATTTGTAGTTCACAGAGGATAACAGGAAACCACAGAGCTGAGGTCATGAGTTACAGCGCTCTATTATCCTAAACTCTGACAAAGACGACCGTGACGCCGACTTTAACTCCTGTGTGTCTGTTTTTAAAACTGTCTCTACGAGAGTCAGCTGAACCAACGACAACAACATGAAATAATAGGAGAGAAAGGAGAGGGGGGTTTACTGCCTGAACTTTCTGTCTGTTTCCTGTTTCTCCTCTTTACCGACTGTCACCGCTCTGAACAACAGTCAGTCACACAGCAGCAGCAGGTGTAAGTGAATACCTGCTCCATGTCTGTCCTGAATTATTAAACTGAGACAGAAATGATGAGAACACACACACACACACACACACACACACACACACACACACACACACACACACACACACACACACACACACACACACACGGATGTTACCTCACTAACACCTCAGAACCTGTTTATGAGACGATGAGAGTCCAGACCTTCTCTGTTTGTGAGGACACACACACACACACACACACACACACACACACACACACACACACACACCTATCACTACAACATTACAGGTCAGTGAGCCACACTACCTTGTACTGTTTATTAGAATAAACTCCAGAACAGTACCAGAACTTCACTGATCTCTAAAGGAGACTCGTTTGTCTGCTGCTTAAATAAATTAAATAACCCCTCAGGTATCATGAAGTGATGATATTCGGCTGTATTTTCAGTATTAAGTTGACTTTATAATATTTCCAGATACTCATATCTCTTCATAAATAACTGTTTTCTGTGAAGATGCTCAAAGCTGTAAAATCTACAGAGTTCAGTTTTTATTTTTTCAGTGACTGAAGTAACAGGATATTATTGATGGAGGAGCTGATAACCAAAATAACAGAATTATATATTCAATGTAATGTGTTGAATTAACTGGGTTATTAGTCTGTGTGTGTATCAGAGGAGACACGACTCACTTTATCTGTTTTATGAATATAATATCTTTAAAAACATCTTTAATATCTTTGTTTTTGTATTTTTATTTTGTGTCTCATCAGGAAATATCACATTTGAATTTCTGTTTTCAAGATTCACACAGAAACTGACAGTTAAACAAAGTCTGTTTATGTTTAAACGTCTTTGAGCACTTGGAAAAGCGTGTTGTTAATAAAATTTATTATTATTATTAGTAGTAGTAGTAGTAGATTTATCATTATTATTATTATTTACCAGAAGAAAAATCAGAATTTTTGAAGTTCTTCGATTCGTCGTCTCGTCTGGTTACAAAACTGCAGAATTATGAGTAAAAAAGGACCATGACTGTGAGACTTTCTCCATAAACTGATTATCTGTAGATTCATGTTTCTGTACACCGGAGTAAACAAAGGAAGAAAAAAAGTCTAAAGATAAAAAAGAAGAGAGGAGGAAGAAAAATAAAAGAGAAGAGACAAAAACTGACACTGAACAGATCCTTCAATAATTCAACATGTGGTTTCTGATAGATGCTGCTGTGTGTGTGTGTGTGTGTGTGTGTGTGTGTGTGTATGTGTGTGTGTGTGTGTGTGTGACAGGTGCTCGGTGGTGTAATGTTCAGGTGGCTCAGTTTGCCAGACAGAGTATTTACTTAATTAAACCGACATGTATGTGACACACACTCAGGTAACTGCTGGTACTCATCACACTTATATAAACACACACACTTACACACACACACACACACACACACACACACACACACACACACACACACACACACACACACTCACACACACACACACACTTGTGTCAGACAGATAAACCTCCCTCAGATCTGTTTTTTAGAGTCCCTCAGGTGAAGATCCAGGTGAGCTCAGAGTCGTCTCTCTCTCTCATGTCGGATCATCTCTGACTCTCTGACTCTCTCGTCTTTAAACTGAGATCCTCGCTCTGATATTCTCAGACACGTTAAAGTGTCCGTCTGCTCAGAGAGGATCTGTGGTCATGAACTCAGACCTGAAACTCCACAAAGTCTGATCATAATCTTTAGACCATTAATTCAAAGAACTCAGGAGACGTGAGCGAAGAAGACGACCGACAGAACAACGAACATGGAGGAGAAACTCAGAGAGACACTGATGAAGGAGTCCACCTGACAGGACTGAGGACAGACCGGAGGTCCCTGTCCCCCAACGTCAGAGATCAGACTCCCTTCAGTTCAGTGATCTGATGTTATTTTTCATTTCCTCTCAATAATCAGTCTGTTGAACTCCAGCAGACTGATGAGGAGGCACGAACATCAGCTGTTGTTCTGACTGAACCCCCTTAAATAAAACCACATATTCACATTTACACAGAGGAGGAGGAGGAGAAGGAGGAGGAGGAGCAGGGGGAGGTTCGGCTCGAGTCAGAGAGGTTCTAACTGAGGGACCAGATCAGGAGCAGAGACCAAAAAAAAACAAGAAGATCATCTTTGGTCTCCTGAAGTCAGAGCCTGGAGTACGCTAACCCATGAGGTTATCCAATACCAGGACACACCCGAGGAGGAGGAGGAGGTGACTTCTTGTTGCCGTGGGCAACAGGGAGGTTGTAGGGGCCGGGTTAACTAAGACTGAGTGTGACAGAGAGACGGAGGACAGGAGGATCATCCCGGCAGGAGAAACTGTGAGGTCTTCAGAGAGCGGTCTGTTCATCAGAACTTCTGAGTGACACTTTGGACCAGACCGGACTGGACCGGACTGGACCGGACTGGACCGGACTGTTTGAACCCGCTCCACTTCAGTGATGTCAGACCCTGGACCTTCTTCTTTCTGAGGATGAACCCAGAGGAGAGACACCGAGGCAGCATGAGGCCCTGATCTCCTGAACCTCTGAAGAGTTCCTCCTGTTGGAGCGTGAAGATGGTCCTGTAGGAGGCGCTGTGTTCAGAACCTCCTAACCTGAACTGGACTCTGATATCTCACCTGGATGTTTGCTGACTCTGGATCTGCTGAGTCTGACTGACACACCTGAAGATGTACAAACGTCGAGGTTACGTGGAGCTCTATGAGAAAGATCTCGCCAAATGGGCGCTGCTACGAAACGTCAACACTGTGATGAAACACAGCACGCTGCTGCCGGTATGTGTGTGTGTGTGTGTGTGTGTAAGTGTGTGTGTGTGTGTCTGTGTGTGTCATGGATCATAATTGTAGGTCTGTACTCTGTGGTCCAGCGTCATGTATGATCCTGTCTGTGTGTTTTTCAGGCGTCATTATAGATCATTCAGAGTGTGGCCCTGCTGTGTGTGTGTGTGTGTGTGTGTGAGAGATATGTTTGTATGTTGGAGATTTAGAAGAACCGGGTTTTGGGTTTCATGTGTTTTAGGGAACAACGTCTATAGCCACAAATAATGCTCAGAACAGCACCTAACTTCATCAACAGGACATATAGGGTCACAGACATAGTACTAGACACCAAACATCTTTTTAACTTTGACTCATTTCTTTAGAGACTAAACACAACTCACCTACTCTCTTCCAGCAGACCCATTACAGACTACAGCGGGGTGCCGCAGCTCAAGGAAGAACATTTATGATCATTTCTTTATCATTTCCTTGAAGTAATAATCACCATATTAATCATTTTACAGACGCGGTAGTTCTTCTGTCTTAGCGTCTCGGTCTGATTGTATTTCTATGAAGAAATGATCATAAATGTTCTTCCTTGAGCTGCGGCACCCCGCTGTAGTCTGTAATGGACTGGCCTGAGGTCTCTCTACAAACAAGCGTCTGCTGGAAGAGAGTAGGTGAGTTGTGTTTAGTCTCTTTACTAAAGAAATGAGTCAAAGTTAAAAAGATGTTTGGTGTCTAGTACTATGGCTGTGACCCTATATGTACTAACCTCAGTAGAACATGGTGTAGTTCAGTTCAGTAACAGAACCTCATTGGAAAATTAGCTAATTTAACTTTACTGTGCTCTTGTTCAAATATATTAACTCAACAGCACATAAATCCATACCTGTTAACAAAATCATGATTATATTGATAATTCGGCTCAATAATAAAAACACCTTTACCTTTTCATTTTACTACAGTAGAAGTTTATTGGCCCAGTTTATAGACTACAGAGGTGAAGAAACGCCCCCGCTTAAGTTTATGTTTTCTGAATGTAGTACTATGTCTGTGACCCTATATGTCCTGTTGATGAAGTTAGGTGCTGTTCTGAGCATTATTTGTGGCTATAGAGTGGCGTTTTGGTTGGGGGCGTGGCTCTCTCTATTTCTATCCTGCGGTCGTTACTAAAGTTGGTATAACTAGAGAAGGAAGCGGTCGGCAACATTCATCTCTGGAGGGGGGGTCTAACTCGGTGTTACGGTGGGTTTGACCCTAAATTAATTTTAAGGTGGAATATCCTTTTACCTGTAGTGTGATGGTGTGCACTGTGACTCTTTTACCTGTAAATATGAACATCTCACTGATTTTAGTTCAACTTTGACTCTTCCTGAAGTTTCTGGCTGACTTGTTGGTTTAATGTTGTTGTGTAAAAACGTTGTTGGGAACCTTTGTCTCGTGTTTTTGTTTCTGCTCGGTGAATTATTGTTGGAACAGACGACTGACGGAGACGTCCAGCTGAGAGTTTCACAGTAAAGATCTGCTCCTATCATCTGTCTCTGATGAGGGTCAGGATATCCAACGATCATCTGCTCCTCAGGGTCTCCATCTGAACTCCTGAGACACGTTTTCTATCTCATCATTTTAGGAACCAGAACTTGGTCAAAGATCAACAAAATACAGGAAGTAACATGGAGCCTGACTGAACCCCTCAGTCTGACCCGGGTTCAAGGGTCACATGACTCTACATCTGTTAGAAGAGTGACGCTGATGGTCATGATGCAGATATTTCAGAGTAGATCATAATAACAGTCAACTTAACGATCAAAATCCATAATTTACCAAATAATCAATCAAACTAATCTGTGATTTTGGTCCATTTCTTCTTGTTGGTAAAACTTAAAAACAAAGATGTTCCAGGACCTGACCCTGGTTTAGGTCTGAACTCTCTCTCCCTCCTCAGGGCGACTACGTCTGGCTGGACCTGAAGACGGGTCGGGAGTTTGAGGTGCCGATCGGCGCCGTGGTCAAACTCTGTGATTCAGGACAGATCCAAGTGGTGGACGACGAAGGAAACGTAAGTCTGGAGATAATAATAATATATATGTGTGTATTTATATATATGTGTGTATTTATATATATTTGTGTGAATTTATATATATATGTGTGTATTTATATATATGTGTGTATTTATATATATATGTGTGAATTTATATCTATATGTGTGTATTTATATATATTTGTATTTATATATATATTTGTGTGTATTTATATATATATGTGTGTATTTATATCTATATGTGTGTATTTATATATATATGTGTGTATTTATATCTATATGTGTGTATTTATATATATTTGTATTTATATATATATTTGTGTGTATTTACAATATATGTGTGTATTTATATCTATATGTGTGTATTTATATATATGTGTGTGTATTTATATCTATATGTGTGTATTTATATCTATATGTGTGTATTTATATATATTTGTGTGAATTTATATATATATGTGTGTATTTATATATATGTGTGTATTTATATATATATATGTGTGTATTTATATCTATATGTGTGTATTTATATATCTATATGTGTGTATTTATATATATGTGTGTATTTATATATATTTCTGTGTATTTATATATATTTGTGTGTATTTATATATATTTGTGTGTATTTATATATATTTGTGTGTATTTATATATATATTTCTGTGTATTTATATATATGTGTGTGTATTTATATATATTTGTGTGTATTTATATATATTTGTGTGTATTTATATATATTTGTGTGTATTTATATATATTTCTGTGTATTTATAAGTATATCAAAGTTTTAAATGAGGATGTTTTTTGACAGAGGGCTGAACTGAACCGACGATAAACTTTGTCCTCATGTTTCACTAAACTCTGATTTTTGTCTCCGTCCTCCAGGAACACTGGATCTCCCCCCAAAATGCCACCAACATCAAGCCAATGCACCCGACCTCCATCCACGGGGTGGAGGACATGATCCGCCTGGGGGACCTGAATGAAGCTGGAATCCTCCGAAACCTCCTGATCCGATACCGAGAGAAGCTCATCTATGTGAGTGTGGGCCGGTCTCTGTATTATATCAGACTGATCCTGGATCTGCTGCTGCTAACCCTGATAGACTCTGTTAGTCCAGAACTACATGACCTGAGGTCTGAGACCTGACTGATCTGGTCCACGGTGGTCTTGATTGTTTCAGTCTTGGTCGTAGTTCCTCTGAGTCTGTGTCCTGGTCATGCAGACTCAAAGTTTTGTTGAAGGTTTCACAGTTAACCTCTCAGTCTTGACTCTTCAGCTCTGACCCTGTCCTGACCTCTGACCTCTCAGCTGCTCTCCTCTGTCTCTCCTCCTCCTTCCTGTTTCCTCTGAAGACTAACTGTGGCGGTCGGGTAAGTCAGCTCCTGATCGTCCAGCATGTCCCACTCTAAAATCAAACAGACGTTTTCTCTCCTAACCCCGTTTTTCCTCTGCATGTTCAGTCTGCTGCATGTTTCAAAGCTCTTAGTTTGCATTAATTATTATTTAATAAACCTGTTTATGAAACAGTTTCAGTGACTCTGAAGAAATAAGTGAAGAGAGAGAGACAGAAGGTCATGAATTCATCAGAGTTTGAAGATTATTTCTCTACGTTAACGTTCGATAACAAAGTCAAACTGACAAACTGAGTCGAGTCGTCTTGATACTGATGCTGACTCCAGATCTTCACAGCTCTCCTTGAACACATGAACAGACCTCAGACCTGCAGACTCTCACAGAACTCGGAGGTTTGTTTCCAACATGGCCGCCTCTTCTCACGTGGTGAACTCTGATACTCTCTCTTTGTCATCCGTCACCATCTGAGAAGCAGACCTGCGTCATCCTCATGGAGCCCTCAGCTCCCTCTACCTGCTGCTCTCTGTCCTGACCTGTCCTGAGTTACAAACACAAACATCTTCTCCCTCTCTGTTTCCTGTTTCGTGGTCGCAGTACGGACATCGCTGGAGTTCAGACATCGCTGTTATTTAAAGTCTCATCTGCAGGTTCTGTTTCCAGATTCAGGTCTCAGTAACTCCACAAACGTCTGACAGGACCAGGTTTGGGTTTGATGGAAACACAGACTGTTGCATGTGAACGTGCACGTGTCCGTTTGTGTCGGTCCTGAAGGATCGAAACGTTTCCCCCTCAGAGACGGAAGAATAAAAACTCAATCATATCAATAAATGGTCTGTCTCCTCTGTGCAGACCTACACCGGCTCCATCCTGGTCGCCGTAAACCCGTACCAGCTGCTGCCCATCTACACCGCCGACCAGATCCGCCTCTACACCAACAAGAAGATCGGGGAGATGCCTCCTCACATCTTCGCCATCGCAGACAACTGTTACTTCAACATGCAGAGGAACAACCGCGACCAGTGCTGCATCATCAGGTAAGAGAGAGGAGGACCGCGGCAGACGGCCGTGAGTCCAGCACACGTCCAACAGTCGGACCCACATGGAGCCGGTCCCTGATGGTCCAACTCTGTTTGTTTCTCTCTGACCTTCAGTGGAGAATCAGGAGCAGGAAAGACCGAGAGCACCAAACTGATCCTTCAGTTCCTGGCGGCCATCAGCGGACAACACTCCTGGATCGAGCAGCAGGTCCTGGAGGCCAACCCCATACTAGAAGGTAGAGCCACACCCTCACTCATAAACATGCTGACCTCAGGATCCACTACCTTTACTGACATGAGGACGTCACACACAGACCACAGAGACCAAGAAAACTTAAAAAGAGACACTAACAAGTGAGAGGATTTTAAAGTTTTAAAGACATAAAAATACGACGACAGAGAGAGAGATCTGCACGACCTGAAGAAGCAGCCTGACCACAGAGACTCCACGCCTCCACAAACACCAACTTCATGTTTCCGTCTCCTTCAAATATAAAAAACAAGGTCTCTAATGGAGACGTCCTCCTCAAAACCTCTCCGCTCTTTCTTCTTCTTCTTCTTCTTCTGCAGCCTTTGGAAACGCCAAAACCATCCGCAACGACAACTCGTCTCGTTTTGGAAAATACATCGACATCCACTTCAACAAGAGAGGAGCCATCGAGGGAGCCAAGATCGAGCAGTACCTGCTGGAGAAGTCCAGAGTGTGCAGACAGGTGGGACACACACACACACACACACACACACACACACACACACACACACAAACATGCTGACCTCAGGATCCACCACCTTTACTGACATGAGGACGTCCCACACAGACCACAGAGACCAAGAGACACTAACAAGTGAGAGGATTTTAAAGAAGAAACTGGGACTGAGTAAAGCCACCGACTGCACGACCTGAAGAAGCAGCCTGACCACAGAGACTCCACGCCTCCACAAACACCAACTTCATTAATAATCATGAGGGTCTGATAATAAACCAGGAGGACTGAACTGCTGCTGCTGAGGTCCACCTCTGATTAACCTTCATCTCTGTGTCTGTTTGTCCTCAGGGTAACTGTACGGTCTGTGACGGACGAGACGACATGAAGGAGTACTCCAACATCCGCTCTGCTATGAAGGTATGAACGGACGGATGGATGAACAGATGGATGATGAACAGATGGATGGATGATGAACAGACGGATGGATGAACAGATGGATGGATGGATGATGAACAGATGGATGGATGAACAGATGAATGATGAACAGATGGATGGATGATGAACAGACGGATGGATGAACAGATGGATGGATGATGAACAGACGGATGGATGGATGGATGGATGATGAACAGATGGATGGATGAACAGATGGATGGATGAACAGATGGATGACGAACAGATGGATGATGAACAGATGGATGGATGAACAGACGGATGGATGGATGGATGGATGGATGGATGGATGAACAGATGAATGATGAATGGATGGATGGATGAACAGATGCATGATAAACAGATGGATGATAAACAGATGGATGATGAACAGATGGATGGATGGATGATGAACAGATGGATGGATGGATGATGAACAGATGGATGATGAACAGATGGATGGATGGATGGATGGATTAACAGATGAATGATGAACAGATGGATGGATGGATGGATGAGCAGATGGATGATGAACAGACGGATGGATGGATGGATGATGAACAGATGGATGATGAACAGATGGATGGATGAACAGATGGATGATGAACAGATGGATGGATGGATGAACAGATGGACGGATGGATGAACAGATGGACGGATGGATGAACAGATGGATGGATGAACAGATGGATGATGAACAGATGGATGGATGGATGAACAGATGGATGATGAACAGATGGATGGATGGATGAACAGATGGATGATGAACAGATGGATGGATGATGAACAGATGGATGACGAACAGATGGATGGATGAACAGATGGACGGATGGATGGATGGATGGATGAACAGATGAATGATGAACAGATGGATGGATGGATGGATGGATGGATGATGAACAGATGGATGACGAACAGATGGATGATGAACAGATGAATGATGAACAGATGGATGGATGGATGGATGGATGGATGAACAGATGGATGATGAACAGATGGATGGATGGATGGATGAGCAGATGGATGATGAACAGACGGATGGATGGATGGATGGATGGATGGATGATGAACAGATGGATGGATGAACAGATGGATGGATGGATGGATGGATGGATGGATGATGAACAGATGGATGGATGGATGAACAGATGAATGATGAACAGATGGACGGATGAACAGATGGATGGATGAACAGATGGATGAACAGATGGATGGATGAACAGATGGATGGATGAACAGATGGATGATGAACAGATGGATGATGAACAGATGGATGGATGAACAGATGGATGGATGATGAACAGATGGATGGATGAACACACGGGTGGATGGATGGATGATCTTGTCTGTTTTCTCCTGCAGGTCCTGATGTTCACAGACAAAGAAAACTGGGAGATCTCCAAACTCCTGGCGGCGATCTTACACATGGGAAACCTCAGATATGAAGGTCAGTCCGTTAACCCTTTAAACACAGACAGACGTTCTGTGGAAGCTCAGTTCTCCTGGTCGAACCTTCTCATGAGAAGTTAGGACGATGATGATTCACAGAGCTGAAACTCTCCTTAAACTCGCGGCTCTGAAAAGTGTAAAAAAAACGTCGTCTGGAGTTTTTAACATCATTCAGTCTTTTTTTTAGTGTGTAACTCTGACTACTGTTGACCTTTGACCCTGCAGCTCGAAACTATGACAACCTGGACGCCTGCGAGGTTGTCCGGAGCGCTCACCTGACCACAGCGGCGACACTGCTGGAGGTGATGAAGACACACACACACACACACACACACACACACACACACACACACACACACACTTAAACACACAAGAGCTCTTCAACACAGCATCTGACAGAGTGTGTGTGTGTGTGTGTGTGTGTGTGTGTGTGTGTGTGTGTGTGTGTTCAGGTGGACGGGAAGGATCTGATGAACTGTCTGACCAGTCGGACTCTGATCACCAGAGGAGAAACCGTCTCCACGCCGCTCAGCATGGAGCAGGCTCTGGACGTCCGCGACGCTTTTGTAAAGGTGAAACACAGACGCTCACAGACGCTAACAGACTATCAAAGACACTCACAGACACTCACAGACTGTGTGTGTGTGTGTGTGTGTGTGTAGGGGATCTACGGCCGCCTGTTTGTGTGGATCGTGGAGAAAATCAACGCAGCGATCTATAAACCCACGTCCTCTCAGCCCAAAGCTCTCAGACGCTCCATCGGTCTGCTCGACATCTTCGGCTTTGAGAACTTCACAGTGAACAGGTTTGACACACACAGACACGCACGCACACACACACACAGACACACACACACACGCACACACACACACACACACAGAGCAGAGTTAAAGTCAGTTCTCCTTCCCTCGTCTCTGCAGCTTCGAGCAGCTGTGCATCAACTTTGCGAACGAGAACCTGCAGCAGTTCTTCGTCCGTCACGTCTTTAAGCTGGAGCAGGAGGAGTACAACCTGGAGAACATCAACTGGCAGCACATCGAGTTCACCGACAACCAGGACGCTCTGGACATGATCGCCATCAAACCCATGAACATCATCTCGCTCATCGACGAGGAGAGCAAGTTTCCAAAGGTGAGCGCTCTGAGGAGGACAGGTCTGATCTCCTGAAGGTCAAAACTGTGACTGTTTTTTTCTGAGTTTGTTTCACTCTTAGGAAAAAAAGCAGCGACTGTTTTAAGTTCGTTTACATCTGTGACTCGTTCATCAGATCATTCAGTCCGCTTTAGTTTTTAAAGATCATTAATAATTAAAAAAGAGAGAAAACCTGCAGTCTAATGTTCTGATCCAGGTCCTCCAAGATGAAACATCACGAGACCCCGAGAGTCGATCCCAGGAAGTGAAGTTCTTATCTGAAATAACAAAACCTCAACATACAGAATAAACTGAATTTTGGCTTCAATCAGTCAGACAGAGTCAGACTCTGGTGGATTCAGGACCTCAGAGAGACCTAGAACATCTAAATCATGTCCATCAGAAACTAAGACAGGAGTCCAGATACATGACAGTGTGTGTTTGTGTGTCCTTCAGGGGACAGACACCACCATGCTGAACAAGCTCAACTTCCAACACAAAGTCAACACCAACTACATCCCTCCCAAGAACACCCACGAGACTCAGTTCGGCATCCAGCACTTCGCAGGAGTGGTTTACTACGAAACCAGAGGTCAGAGGTCGTCTGTCTGCGCACAGAGAGAGACACTGAAGTCTTTTACTGCACAACAGTCTGAATATTCAGATCTCTGTAGGACCTGCTGCTGTCTCAACACTGCAAACATGCTGTCTGTGTGTGTGTGTCTGTGTGTCTGTCTGTGTGTGTCTGTGTGTGTGTGTGTCCTGCAGGTTTTCTGGAGAAGAACAGAGACACTCTGTACGGCGACATCATCCAGCTGGTTCACTCGTCCAAGAACAAATTCATCAAACAAATCTTCCACGCTGATGTGGCCATGGTACACTCACACACACACACACACACACACACACACACACTGACCTGTGTGTGTCGTTTCCCTCAGAGTTCACAGCAGTCGTCTGTCTCTGAGTGTTGAATCGTTCTGAAAAACAAAAATATGAAAAATAAACTCAAACAAATCTTTAGTTTTTATTATTTAAAATCATTTTAAAATTATTTATTTGACTGAATAATTAAATGTCAGAGTTTCATCTTCTCATGTGTCTCAGTAACGTCCAGCTCCACAGCGTTCCTGTCCTCTCTGTCTGTCCTCTGAGTGTCCCTGTGTGTGTCTCTCTCTCTCTCTCTCCCTCTGTCTCTCTCCCTCTCTCTCTCTCTCTCTCTCTCTCTAAAGTTTCTGTGTGGTTGTGCTGCTCGTAGTTCTGTAGGTCCTCCTGACAGAGCTCCTCTGAAGGTAAACAGTCCCTGAAAATCCTCCTCATCCCGTCTTCATCCATCTCTCCTCATCTTCTTTAACTCTCATCCTTAACTCTCATCTGACCCTCCACCTGAAGCATCTTCAGTTATTATTTCTACCATCACATTGTGTTCTCTCTAATGAATATTGACTCGTGTCTGAAACACGTCTGCTGGTGTTTACAGTGTTTTTCATTATCTATAGATGTTAATACAAAAATGTCTTCTGAGTCTTTCTAAATATTCTGTGTTACGAAAATTAAATTCAGGACAGTGAGACAGATTTTATTGTCAAACACAGTTTCAGTAACAAACACATCGTTTTTTTTAATTTTGAAAGTAGTAACCAAATGTTACTTCCTCAGATCAAGTCGAACTTCACTTATTTATCGTTAGACAGTGACTTTTTGTTGCCACTGGGGGGCAGCAAACTCTCGTGATTTTAAATAAATTAAAGACAGAAACTTTATTAATTTATTGACATTTTATTTTATGTTTCCTGCATCTTTGCTTCTCTATGCTGCCGATCATTAAGATGTTTATATAGATTTAAAATTAAACTCCCTCCATGAGAAATATGGAAGAATTAATTTTTCCTGTTATTTTTCTAAGGACTGTAGAATCATCACCATTTATTTAAATTCAACTCAAATAAAATAGGATTTTGTTGACACTAGTTTTTACATTTTTCAACAAATAATGATTGAGGTTGTCAAGAGTCTTTTTTTAATAATCTTAAATTTACTGATTATTATATTTTTTAAGGTTTTTATAAAGTAATGCTGGAGGTGAAAGTAATTCATTTGACTGTTGAAGAAAAATAAATATTCGTACTTGCTAAAAAATAAATCTGTGGCATTAAAAATACAACTGCCAGAATGTTATTGTTAATATTTTTAGTTATACTGCCCTCCAGGGGACAGAAATGGAACTGCAATCACTAAAATGATCCAGTTAGCCACAATTTAAAAAGTAAGACTTTTTCCTCAAATTCGGTTTTAATCCCTTTAAATCAGACTGAGACAGTGTTTAACATCTCACATGTTCTTGAATGTTACCCTGAGGAGTTGACCACATTAGTTAATAATTAATTCGTTTTTTCAGACCGTAATTAATTTTACCTTTAAAGTTAAAGAGTAAAATCCTGTCCGGGCTGATAGTTCCGTCTCTGACCTCCTCTGGACTCCTGTCGTCCCTCCCTCATGTTCTCCAGGTAAACTTTCTCCACCTGAGAGTTTCACATGTTTCACTTTTTAACAACACCGAATTTATCCCGGTACCGACTTCCGGTCCATTTCATCAGAGACCCGAGCATTTAGGCGCCATTTTAACAGACTGACCACGAGTTTGTTGTTTTTCTTACAAACATATAATTACACCGATATGGAATATATAATATTACATAATATAATATTATATATAATATTAATGTCTAACTATCAGCTGGTAATGTAAATAAAACTTTGGTCAAAACTTTAGTTTTTCTTTTTAAGAGTCACCAAACCGAACTAGAAATCCTCACACTGCCCTCTAGTGGTCACTCTTCGAAACTGACAGACAGTGGTCACTTAATAATCTTATTATATAATCTTATATAATCCTATATAATCTTATTTAAAGATGTCAGAGAGTGTAAGTACATGTGTATTTTCTCTTTCTTTAAAATAAGTATAAATCAGTAAACAGAAATAATCAGATCCTCTGAGATGCAGGAAACAGAGTCTCAAAAAATAGTTTTCTGTCATTAATTAACTATAACGGAAGCCTGTTTGTCTTTGTTTAGTTTAGTTTTGATTTTTTTTCATGTTTATAGTTTTAAAGTGTGAATCTGCAGAGTCAGCCGGAGGAAAACTTTTTTATTTAGAGCCACAAAAACACAAAAAGAGGAAGAAAGTTTGTGTCAGAGCGCAGGAAGAGAGAGAAAGATCCTCATTGTTTCTGACCCTGACACTTTCTTCACTGCTGTCAATCTGTGTGTGTGTGTGTGTGTGTGTGTGTGTGTGTTCAGGGGGCAGAGACCAGGAAGCGTTCTCCCACTCTCAGCAGTCAGTTTAAGAGATCTCTGGAGCTGCTGATGAGGACTCTGAGCGTCTGTCAGCCTTTCTTTGTTCGCTGCATCAAACCCAACGAGTACAAGAAGCCCATGGTGAGTCTGTGCTCCTCTGTGATCCTCTGTGATCTCCTGTGATCTTACCTTGAACAGATCAGTCTGCAGGTTTACAGTTTTTAGGGTTTACAGAGACAGAAAGTCTAATTTGGGGGGAACTCGTTTGTCACGTGTGGAGTGACTCTGCAGCAGCGTTTGACTCCATGTGTGACCTGCTGGGTTTTTGTTGACTTCTTAGATAATGAAGCGACTTTAGTGATTACTGCACACACACACACACACACACACACACACACACACACACACACACACACACACACACACACACACTGAGAGCTTCAGATCAGTGTAGAGACGCACCTGTTCTGGTTTAAATGAAGGTCAAAGCTGCTCCGACCGTTTTTACACCTGTGAGAAATTTAAAGAGAGAAAAACGAGATTCACCAAAATAAAACTGATTAACACGAACAGTCATGACTGTGTGTGTGTGTGTGTGTGTGTGTGTGTGTGTGTGTGTGTGTGTGTGTGTGTGTGTGTGTGTGTGTGTGTGTGTGTGTGTGTGTGTGTGTGTGTGCCTGCAGCTGTTTGACAGAGAGCTGTGTGTGCGACAGCTCAGGTACTCAGGTATGATGGAGACCATCAGGATCCGTCGGGCTGGATATCCGATCCGCTACACCTTTGTGGAGTTTGTGGACCGGTACCGGGTTCTAATGCCTGGAGTCAAACCGGCGTACAAACAGGTGAGACCAGGTGATGGTCCAGACTCAGTTCTGGAGGTACTGAAGGTCCATAAGGTCATGGTACTGGGAAAATACATATATGTCTGTGTGTGTGTCTGTGTAAGTGTATTTGTGTGTGTGTGTGTGTCTTTGTGTATATGAGTGTCTATGCGCGTGTGTCTGTACGTGTATCTTTGTGTATATGTGTGTGTGTATA